TTCTTCTTCTGACGAGGCATATAAATCATTTGATCCACGTAGCCAGATGAGGAATTATTTAATACATTTCATACTAATCTGCCTTATACCATTGAGGATAGATCCTGCTTTACGCTTCGGTTAGATACATTATGAACTCGTAGTTGATAATTTCGAATATACATGTATTAGGAAATATCATATTTTTATTAACAATTCAACAAACGTCAAAGTTTATTAATTTATATGTTTATCTCTATAAAGCCAAAAATATTTGTAATTTAAAAAAGTAGAGGAAAAGATTTTGAATCAATGATTAGATATGAAGAGAAGCTGGGTTTTGAAGAATCTCTTAGTATATTGCTACTGGCATACCTTTCATTTCGTTTGAGAAGACGGGTGGAAGGGATTTATGGATTTGCTTTTCTGGATACCGAAGGAGGATTGCCTTAAACTTTTGTCTATTCGATTTCGCAGAGAGAACTTTGGCTCACCATTCTACGACCCTGATGACTGCGTGCTGATCTATCGTCTGTCATGTGACGGACATCATCAGAGCCAGAAATTCAACCGACTCGTGGATGTTGCATATGCACACGAATACACATTTACGCAGCTCTAACAACACCCAGGATTACATGATCATACGATAGGTTATTTAGATACATATAGGTTGTGACCACATCCTCTCCTCTTTCTGCATCATTTTGACCCACTTACATGCATGTATAACAAGCATAAAACAGTCAACCAAATCATGGAATGTTTCATTAAGATCGCAAAGTGAAGTATAAGAAGTAAAATATCAGCTCGCCACTTACCTTGGTTTAATGCTTTCGGTGATTGTTCGTGAATAATGGTTTCTGGCTCTGACAATGTCCGTCACATGACAGACGAAAGATCAGCACGGAGTCATCAGGGTAGTAGAACGATGAGCTGTGGTCTTCTTCGCGCAATTCAATATACAAAAGTCCAAGGCAATCCCCTTCGGTTTTCGATGAGGCCAATCTACGAATTTCTTCCCCTCACATCAAACGAAATGAAAGGTATGCCAGCATCACTCTGATTAGATTCCAATACCATTCCCTTTATCCCCAATGCAAAAGCGGAGTAAAGCTCTTTTAAACATATCTGAATTGTGATACTGCCAATGTTTATTCACTGATGATTTAAGGATGCTTGACATGTGAGGGGAGTAAAAACTTATCTTACTGCAGACAACTCAATGGAACTACATTTTGTGTAGTCCCACCAAGATGCATTAACTAGTCACTATACTAGACAAAGTCGCTTAGAGTCAAGTCGTCCCATCACATCTTATCATGAGTGATGATAAGCGCCAATCTGCTAGCCAAACCACCACAATCTTTGAACGCTCTCATTATTAATTGTATTATTGCACCTGGATTTGATCAACTAAGCGTAAAAAAAACAGAATCATCATCAACGTTCATCCAGATAATTCATGATCAGATATGAGCAATAGAAATATTCTTGCGGACGAAGAGATTCAGAATACTTTGCTCGATGATGATGATTTTGAAGAGGAGTATGTTTCCACAAATTTAGATGCTTCTACCTCTGTTTCCTCTTTCGCTCCTGTTACTGCTGATAAAAGAGA